GTTGTGAGTAACACATTGTAATGACTCTGGGATTTGGTATATTCTTTTGGAGAGTGTTGATTTTTTGGTTATTATTTGTATTATTAGAAAACAATTAACTTGGCTGGACTAAACTCCAAACTATTTCTCCTCACAGAGGATGGTGGCTGACTACTCTGCTCAATTGTTTAAGTATTTGGACTGCTTAGAGTGTTTCACCCATGTATATATTAATGATCAGCCATAGACATGGGTAGAGTTAATATGCAGAATATGGAACTCTTGTTTTTGCAGTTGATTTCCAGCATATGCCCTCTCCCTTTCCGGCTGGTGCAGTAGTTCTAAACTCTGGTCTTTCAAGCCAGTAAGACTGCATATTTTGATCCAAGTTCAAGCTGCTCCATGCTACTCAGAATAGGGACCTTTCTTCAGGCAAAAGCTGTAAAAACACCCAGTTCTAATCCCTTTTTCTAAATGTTGTCTCCTATCCAGATTCTGCCTACTTTTGGTTGCTCTCAGGTGCCTTCAGGTAGTTGGTTTTTGTTTTTGTTTTTTTACGATTTATTTATTTTAAGATTTTATTTAAGAGAGAGTGCATGTGTGAGAGAGCACATGAGCAGGGGAGAAGGGCAGAGGGAGAGGGAGAAGCAGACTCCCCGTTGAGCGGAGAGCCTGATATGAGGCTCGATCCTAGGATCCTGGGATCATTACCTGAGCTGAAGGCAGATGGTTAAAGGACTGAACCACCCAGGCACCTCTAAGATTTATTTATTTCAGAGAGAGAGAGAGTGAGCATGCACGAGCACTTGGGGGAGAGGCACAGGGAGAGGGAGAGAGAGTCTAAGCAGACTGTGCTGAGCATAGAGTCTGACACGGGGCTCAGTCTCACAGCCCTGAGATCATGACCTAAGCTGAAACCTAGAGTCAGATGCTTAACCGACTGTGCCACCCAGGTGCCCCCACGTAGTTGTTTTTTATATTTTTTTCCAGAATATATAGTTATCTGTGGGAATATTGGTATGATGAGATATTCTATTACTTGTGATAGAATATTATATTTTTTGTTTTAAAAGGTAAAAATACTTCATGAATTTATATCGATACCTCCAGTTCAAATCAGAACTAACAAGTTTTTTTGTTATGTCTCTTCTTCTATACTAAGAGTTGTGGTTCTCAAGGACATAAAGCAGATGATAGAAGTAGAATGTCACATAATTATTTACTCCTTTCTTCCATCTTACAGCAGTCTGAGTAACAATAGTTGTACTGTCACAGTGACCAAAGTGATTACTGAAAACAGTTAAGTTTTTTTTTTGCTTGTGCTTTCCATAAACTTCCATCTCCTATTTTAAAAAATATTTTATTATTAACAACTTTGCATACATTTAGCCATTATTTATACTCTCTTCCATGTACTTCTCATTTAATCTTTTTTTTTTTTAGGATTGTATTTATTTATTAGAGAGACAGTGAGAGCAGGAACACAAGCAGGGGGAGTGGGAGAGGCAGAAGCAGGCTTCCTGCTGAGCAGGGAGCCTGAGGCAGGGCTCAGTCCCAGGACCCTGGGATCATGACCTGAGCCAAAGGCAGACGCTTAACAACTGAGCCACCCAGGCGCCCAATCTTTACCAACAAGTAGATCATATTATTGCTTGCTGTTAGTTCTTAGGTAGGTTCTTTTTGGTTATCTAACACTTATTCTCTAGGTTCTTTTGGAAGGCTCGTAGGAGCAGTATTTCCTGATTTCCAGCATTTTGGTAACAGTTATCTGTGCCTTCTATGTGTTCAAGAGCAATTTTACTGAATATAAAACACTTCATTTATATTTTCTTGAGTATCTTAAATATATTACTCCATTTTCTTCTGGCATATAGTGTTGCCTTGGAAAAGTTTGATGTTGGCTTTCTGGGTTGGTATTAGGTGTACGTCATGCTTTTTCAGTCAGCAGTTTCAAAAAACTTAATTTTCAAGGGCATTTCTTGCATTATAGCTTTTACTATTTTTTTATGGTAGTGGTCTTTAAAGACTTCTTTTACTTGAATGTTGAATTTTTATTGCTTCATTAGTTGTTGCCTTCTCTCTCTCTTTTTTTTTAAGATTTTATTTATTTATTTGAGAGAGAGAATGAGAGAGAGAGAGCAGGAGAGGGGGAAGGGTCAGAGGGAGAAGCAGACGCCCTGCCGAGCAGGGAGCCCGATGCGGGACTTGATCCTGGGACTCCAGGATCATGACCTGAGCCGAAGGCAGTCGCTTAACCAACTGAGCCACTCAGGCGCCCGTTGCCTTCTCTTTTATCCCTTCATTTGGATAAATGTTCAGTGGATATATGTTGTATGTGTTTTCTCTCAAGTTCATTCAGGCTTAGTCTTCATTTCTGAAACTTTTTTCCCCCCTATTTCTGATGTTTTCCTGAGTTCTGTTAACCTAAACCTGAGTTTTTTGAAATTTGGTTTATGTTGTTCTTTCATGTCTTGAGTCATTTTTGTAATGTTTTTTAGCTCATTCTAAAATAGTAGGTTACAATTTTCACCTATTTTATGGGTGTGTGTTCTTGGTGTGGTTTCATTATTAGGATGTTATTCTGTATCTTCTTTTTTTTCTTTTTTCTTTCCTTATAATAACTTCATGGGATTGACCTAATCATTTTCTGTTGTTTACATTTTTGTGGTTTAGAATGGCTTTTCTTACAGAGCTTCTTCTGCTATTGTTTTAGGGCACTCTTCAGAAGTGTGGCATTTGCTTTCTGAAATTTCTAGGCTTTGCTCCCTTCCTTGGTTTTATCTGAGTATTCTCTTTCCTTTATCTTCATTGTACCAATTGTGCTCAATAGAAGCTAGATTGTTCCAACTAGTTCATAGAGACTAGATTGCTCCAGCTTCTTCAGAGTTCACCATGGACCTCCTATACTAAATCATTATTTGAAAGGAGAAACCCTTTGAGTTAGAGCTTTTGTACTCAAAATTGCTATTTTCAGTGTCTCTATTCTCAGATCTGACAGATACTCTGTTTCCTTTTGCTTCCTCTCATATGACACAGGTCCTGTGGTTATTGGTGATTTGTCTCCACCTGCTATCTGGGGGAAACTCATGGAGATTCCTTGTCAGCCAGTTTTTTGTAAATGTTGTCTGTTGGTTTGGGGTTTGTATTTTTATCTGAGGATTTAGGGATGCTCAAAAATATTGGCGTGGCTTCTGTTTTCCCTGAATCTAATTTACCACTTGTTAATTGCTGTTTATGGTTTGTTTTGTTTCAAGTTTGATAATCTTGCTCTAATTAGATTATACCTTCCTCCAGATAGTGCTGGAATATTAATCAGTTCGAGTGCTGGTTTATGTTGAAAACAGCCTTTAGGTTGTCCAGCATAGTACTAGACATATATCTAATGACTCAGAGTCATCAGTTTAGAAGTTAGCCTAAGGGTAATTGTAGGCCAATTTCCAACCTTTTAATAGTGGGATTAGTACCTACTCTTATCTTTTTTCCCCCATTCGAGAACTTTGTTTTTTGTTTTTTAAATTTAAATTCAGTTAATTAACATATAATGCATTATTAGTTTCAGAGGTAGAGATCAGTGATTCATCAGTCTTATATAACACCCAGTACTCATTATTAATATCACGTGCCTGCCTTGATGTCCATCACTCAGTTACCCCATCTCTCCCACTCTTCTCCCCTCCAGCAACCCTCAATTTGTTTCCTATGATTAAGAGTCTCTTATGGTTTGTTTCCCTCTCTGATTTCATCTTGTTTTATTTTCCCTCCCTTCCCTTATGATCCTTTGTTTTGTTTCTTAAATTCCATATATGAGTGAGATTGTTTGATAATTGTCTTTCTCTGATGACTTATTTCACTTAGTGTACACACACACACACACACACACACATCTTTATCCATTCATCTTTCAATGGACATCTGAGCTATTTCCATAGTTTGGCTATTGTGGACATTGCTGCTATAAACATTGGGATGCAGATGCCCCTTTGAATCACTACATTTGCATCTTCGGGATAAATACCTGGTGGTAGCACCTACTCTTAAGTTGCAGGAAAACAGGGATATTAGGTGGCCTGCCTGTACACGAAGGTCATTCATGCATCATCTTTGTGTGTATGCCATAGCATGTCATCCTCTGATCTAAACATTACTGGAAGACATTGATTTGTTACTGATGGTCCAAAAAGTCTACAAAATAATGAGCATCATAGAAACATATTGGAAACATAGCTGATGTCATCCTACAAAATGATAGCTCATTTCTCTTGGTCACTGTCTAAAAACAATGTAAAGGAAATGTAGTAACTCAGGTGAAGCAATTAAAATGGTAGAGATGGTAAAAGATTTTCTTGAAAGACTAAACCAAAACAAACAAAAAACCAGGGATTGTCCAGTTTGTTGATATAAAGAGAGGCAGAGGGGTGTGGATGGGATGTGATGGAATTTGATAAGATTGTGAAGGGAATTAAGGAGCACAAATAATACTTTTGGTTAAAGGAAGCATCAGTTTTTATATACTGGGTTGTAATTTTAGGGATCTTGTTATCCTAGTAATAGCCCAGTTCCTTTGCTCCTGAATTTGGTATTCTAAAAAATCAGCTAAAACAACTCAGTTCCTGAAACACAGATCTTTATTGATTTGGTAAAACTTTCCAAGATATTTGTAGTGTTAAGTAATTGATATTTCTTATTTTTAAGATTTATCTATTTATTTTAGAGAGAGCGCGCACAGGAGGGGCAGAGGGAAAGGCAGAGAGAATCTCAGGCAGACACCGGGCTGAGCACAGAGCCTGACACAGGGCTTGATCTTATGACCCTGAGATCAGGACCCTAGCTGAAACCAAGAGTTCGTCACTTAACTGACTCTGCCACCCATGCACCCTGATATTTCTTATCTTTACTTCATTTAACTTCCTTGCTTAAAGGAATCATACTTTATTTTCATTTATGAATGTGGATTATTTACCTTGTAGTATGTTTCATCTAAAATTACTCCTAATTTTTACCTTTTTAAAAATTTTTAACAGGCCTCAACAAATAATGAAAGTTCTAATCACAGTTTTGGAAGCTTGGGATCTTTAAGTGACAAAGAATCTGAGGTAAGTAACTTCATTTTAAATATGGTGCTATTAAAGTAAAAGCTGGAATCACCTTTTTTCTTTTAATAGTTTTTCCTCCTCCCCCCCCCCAGCAATCCTTGTGGTAAAGGTTAATGCTAAAGTTTCTGGTAGGAACATTTTGTTCTGCCTTATGAAGCACAGTATTCAGACTGAAGACTGTTTGGCATTAGAAAGAAAATATAGTTTCTTTGGTGACGTAGTTGAACTTCTACATTAGTGGTATAGATGTTCTTAATGGAAGACAGTTACTAGCCATTCATAATTCTAGTAGGCGAAAGTGGTTTTTGAACTGTGTTTACAGTTTTCTATTATTTTTTGTTATACTTCCCTCTTAGCTTGGTTCTGAGTAAGGGTTTGCTTACTTCCTGAGATATAGATAATACATTTTTTTCTTTTTGAAATTTCTTGTCGAATTTCATGCCGTTGGTTTTCATTTTTCATATTTAAAAAATCTGGAAAATCCTCTCTCCTCCCACCCACTTCCCGACCCCACTAAGAACATACATGGAATTTTACAAGTAGGTATTTAGATCCATGGTACAGTTAACATTGAGCATGATACACTTGATGGCATCTGTTTGAAATATGTATGCAGGAAGTTCTTTGGGTTTTAGCATTCATTTGATGCTGCAACATCACTCTTTGTGGCTACAACCTTACAATATTTCCTTTGCTCAGATTATAGACTTCTGTTACTTTTCAGTGCATGCGTGTGTGTGTGTGTGTGTGTGTGTGTGTGTGTTTTCCCTTCAGTGTTAACTTATTTCTCTTTGATCCTTTTTGGTCTTTTTTCTACTTGGGTTAGTATAGATATATCCCCTTGATAACACCAGCAGGTCATTAGCACTCAGTAACTCTTAGCCATTTGGTTTTGGTGTTCAGTGGAAAGAGAATATCAAAGGTGGCATTTTTTTAAGTCCTGTGTTATTGAGAGCATCTAGGAATCTCTCTAGGTAGACAGTTTTGTGCAGTACTGTGCAGGCACCCTGACACTCCAAAGGAGTGTGGCATAGGGTTTTCACTCATCAGGCTTTCCCTTCCACAGAGACAACTGGCAGGCAGCTGAAAGGACTGTGCAAGTGACGGGACTTTATCCGCAGTAGGTTCCCTTGAGGTAAGCGTTAGTAGCCCCTGTAGTACCAGATTATCACAGTTTAGTTTTTTTTTTCAAATTAGCACACTTAAATTAAGTCCTTAAAAATTGTAGGTTTAGATTTAGTCAGAGTACAGCTTTTTAGAAACTATATCAAGAATGTTTTCACTTTTTATCTCCTGGACTTTGGAACATTTCTTGATATTTCCAGATTTTGGTCTATTTAGTAATTTCACATGCCCTTCCTTTCATAGGCTGTTATGTTACAAAGGGCAATAAAATAATTTTAGATATTTCCCTTTTCTCTTCACCAAATCTGATGTTTTTGACAGATTTTTTATAGCAAAACATAGTAAAAGATCATCTGTAACAGGTATTTCTGTGTTCTTTATAGTCTCCCAATATAAGCTGTAGACGCAGCTTTAATTTTTTCAAAGGAATCAGTCTATAAGAAAGTACCACTTCCCTTTAAAGAATTCCAAGAATCACTTTTGATTGTATTTTTAGTTAAAAAAAAATTTTTTTTAAGACCATACTGTAATTTACAGTGAAGTACAATTCGGTTAAGCATTGCATATACTTCGGTTAATTTGTATAGAAATTTTGATATTTGAAGCATTTACAGAAAATCTTAAAAATTTGGGGGCTTTTGCTGGTCTGTGTTCAGCATCAAGAATTTTTACAAATTGTTAAGTCAAGTGGCACAGTATTTTGGAAATGACTACTACAGCTTATACATTTTCCTTAAGATTTGAAGAAGCAATTTTTTTTGTCTTATCATTTAAGAAGCTACTTATCTGGAAAATGATTTCCAGGTTTTATTTCTATACTAGATACTTTAACAAATTTCCTTGGGGTGAAATTTTACACACCTGAAAATACAGGTATTTGTCGATCATTATGTGAAGTTGTTGGGCGTGAACAATTATAGGGTCAAGTACTACTTTCTTTCCTGGTGCACCAGTAGTAAAGTTTATGTAGTATTGTTCTTTGATGTCATTTTATTCTTTTGGTACTCCATCCCCTGATCCATTACATTTTCTTAAATAATAGTTTTTGTTTATATGAAAAATAGTACTGACGGTTTATTTAAAAAAAAAATAGCTTTTCTCTCCACCTCACTCTTCATTCTTTCAGCTCTTCTTCCTGGTATTTATTTCCACATTTTAATATAAATAATATGCATATCTTGAGCTTTTGTTTCTTCAGTTGGGCATTTTCCTCCCACCCAGTACTCTCAGATGCCCAGAACTCCTGTTTTCTAGCTTTTTACTTTTAAAACTGAAAAGCATCTGATATTCACTGTTAAACTCCTTTGAATCTACTTCAACTGAAATTTTTCATTTCAGTTTATATATGAATTACTTCTTATATGGATTTGCCTTTTATTTCTAAATGTAGAATTGTAGAACAGAAAGGTTTTTCCCTTTGTTAATGAAATTGCCTAGTTGGTAGGAAGGTGTCAGTCTTGTTTTTGCTTCATTTTACATCATTCTAGGTCTGTTCAGTATGTTCCAAAAATTTACTGTGTTTTCAGTAAGCATTTATTACATATGTGTTATCTTCTAGCCTCTGTGCCCAAGCAAAGAGAATATAAAAAAATGAATACAATGCAATCCCTACCTTCACATGAGATCACTCTCTAGTAGGACAAACTGCTTCATAAACAGTGTAGACTATGCTATAATAGATGTAAGCACAAGGTACTATGGGAGCAAAGAGCAAGAAACCCCTAATTCCATCTTTGCTGGGGAGAAGGTGGGGGAGAAAAGTCAAGTCTTCCTTTAAAGGAGAGAGGATAGTTGAGTTGTTAGGCTGTGAATTCATCCCAGAAGACAAGGGTAAAGTACGAGAAGACGACAGGCAGAAAGACTAGGATACACTTTTGCTTTTGCATGGAAGCATGGCAAGTAGTTCTGTTCAAGGCATGAGGCAGTGATTCTCAACCCTTAGTGCACTTTTAGATCACCTGAGAAGCTTAAAAAATATACCAAGCTGCCTACTGGTTTGAAGACCTCTGGAATAGGTAGGCTATGCAAGAATGGTAAAAGATAGGTAGGAGTCAGGGTTTGAAAGCCCTTGTACTTCGTAGTAAGGAATTTGGACTGTTGTCTAGATAATGGAGAGCCATTTAAACAGGAGGAACAAAAGGCAAAGTAGAGATGAATAGGCTCCCCCAGTTTGTAGTGTAGAGGATAAAATTGGAGGGAATGAAACCTAAGTTGGGAAGATCATTTAGTTAAGGAATATTGTCTCCTTTACAAAACTCCCAACTTCCACAGTTTAATATTAGGAGGAAAAACTTCAAGTGGGCAGGGTTCTAATTAAAGTGTTCTCAAGTTTACCTTTTGGGCTCTGCCTTCCCCTTCAGATTCTCAAACTTTGGTTAATGGTATTACTCCCCAGGTCCATGCTTCTCAAACTTCAGTGTGCAAGTGAATTACCAACAGTTCCTTTTGTCTATAGATCTGGGGTGGGGGTTTGCATTTCTGACAAGCTCTCGGATTTCCCTAGATTATAAAAGTAGAATCAGTATGGTTTAATGACTGAATGAGGGGAAAGAAGGAAAGGGAAGAGCCTAGGATTATTTAAAGGTATCTAGCTTTAGGTGAATGTTAGTGCCTTTGACCAAAATAGACAACACAGAAGGAAGAAACATAGGTTTGGCATAGAAGATAATGAATTAAATTCTGGACAACACTGAGTTTGAACATCTGTGAATTGACCAAATGAAGATGGTACTTCAGATAGGCAGTAGGAGTTATCTGGAGCTCAGGAAAGAGGTCAGGTTAGAGATGAAGACTTAGAGGAGTTTTTGGCACAGGTGACCACTTTGAGTGGTCATAGGATTCTTGGGGGTGGGTCTCTGAGAGTCTTTCTGGGGCTTCCCAGGGTCAAAACAATTTTTATAGTAGTGCTAAGGCATTATTTGCCCCCCCCCCTTTTTTTACAATAATGCTAAGACATATCTGGCTTTTTAACTTTCATTTTCTCTTGAGTTTACAGTGAAAATTTCCAGTCTGTAATGACACATGATGACATCATCACCCTGACTTACGAATTGTGTACTTGTATATTCTGATGTTTCAAAATTTCTTTAGTTTTAACATCTAGAATAGTAAATATCGATAGTTATAGCCTATGCAAAGCTGAGGCATCCTTGACAGTTTTAAGAGTTTGTAGAGGAGTCCTGGGACCTAAAAGTTTAAAAACTGCTTCTGTGGGTGAACTCATTTTGATAGTGCGTGTAATGCTGGGAAATGTTAGCAGGCGAGGTAAGCGTGCTAGAGTAAGAGTAGTAGTCTGGTAAGGAGGTAGACCGTAGGAAGAAGAGGAGAAAGAGGGGAGAATAAGGAGTAGAACTAAATGTCACAGAAGTCAATTAAGATAATGACTATAAAAAGTGACTAAGAATTGTCACTTAGGCTTAGTTTTAGTAGACTAATGGGAGCAAGATACTAGATTGTAGCCCATTAAAGAGAGCTGGGATAGTGAGGAAATAGTGACAGCAAATATTGGCTACTCTCGGCAGAATCTTCATGATAAGGGAGATGGTGTCTAGAGTCTTAACAGGCTTGACATATTATGTATAGGGAAGGGCTTGTAGCAGAGCTGTAACGACAGGACAAGGAAAGTGCTGAAAAGAGAGGAGAAAATAGAACCAAACTTAACACCTTTTTTGGGGAGGTGGTATGAAATGCCGAGATCCAGAACCTGGGTGGGCAGGTTTCATTGTGGACAGAATTAACTGGGAACAGCTTTTCCCCTGATGGGCAAACTTCCAGCCTAATAACCTTTCTCTTACTCCACAGTGAAATAGAGTTTATCAGCTGAAGGAAAGAATCATGAGTTGGTTGTGGGTGTGAGAATGATGAAAATTTTATGG